CATAAAGTTAAATTTTGAATATTAAAGGATATTTATTATTTTTTGACACATGTTGATATATGAATATTTTGAAATTCTTTTAAGGCATACCACATTTTTACAAATACGAAAATTATTTTAGTTAAAACTAGTACATGTCCCGTGCGATGCACGGACTGTATTATTGCACGGACTGTATTATTCTTAGGGTATATTATAAATGGAAGTGTATTAACGAATAAAAAAGTGAAATATTATAAGTTGAAGTGTATTAATAAATAAAAGTGTGATAATACGTACGGTAATTGTCAAACAATAAAAATGTTCCAAAAAAATATATATTATTAAAAACCTTTTAGTACACAATATTATTAGTTTGATTACCGGACAACTCGTCGCATAACCTAATATTTTCAACTCTTTTATATTACTTGCACACAAACCAGCAACATATAATTGTCCATGACTAAAAACGAACTCTTTTTTACCATCATGCATACAAAACTATAAGTAGAAACTGGTGCTGTTAGAGCAATAATGAAAACTTAAGATCGAAGTGAGTTATTTATCGTAGGATAATTTACATGAAAGTTCTAAAAATGTTATTCGTCTAGCATTTAATAACACGATTATACTTTTTTAGCAAAATAATAATTACCGATATTTTTATACTTTCTTAATTATATAAAAGAACATTAAAATATATGCTTAGAATATTAAAAACAAATAACACTTATGTATAACACACATATATATGTATCTATAGATATGTATCTATATATAAATAGACCTTAATTTATAAGATGTGTACAAAATTTCCCAATTAACATGTTTAAAAATATATAATAATGTTATATGTGACTAATAAGCATTACAATCTAAAAAATATTAGTATTTATAACGTATTACCAAATAATATGCATGAGACCTGCAAAACATTAGACATTTACATTTGTGGACGTGCCACCGTAAAAAGAGATTTGTATATATCTCATAACCAATCGTTTTTTAATTAAATAATTTAAATATTTATATAATTAAAATAAAAAAGAATCCTCCATAAATGGAAATTTTAAAATCGAATGTTTAATTATTTACATAATATTTGCCCAAACAATTATCCGTAAATAAAGGAAACCTAGAATTGACTAAACCAAACATAAATTGAAAGTCTATGTTTATGGAAACTATTCATTATAGATTTATTTATTTTTATTTAAGCATGTAATATTATTTACATCTATAGTAGGTAATTAATGTTTTTGGTCGAAAAATATTTTTTAACAATGAATTAATCTTATTCTTATTATATATATATAGATAGATTATAATGAATGCAATTACTGCTTAATTTTTTGGTTAAATAAATTCTCAAATTACCATTTTAGAATGAAATTAATGTTTATGGCGATAAAATTTTTCTAAAAATTATTTAACATTATTCTTATTATATATAGAGAGAGAGATAGACTTATACAGTTAATTGTGATATTATGTATGGATGGGCTAAATTATTATGTCTATCCACTAAAATGAAAGATATTCCATCAATATTTATAAATTTATTTTTATTTCAAAATGCAAAGAAAAAATTTGCTTAAAGATTCGATAAAATAGCAACAACTAAATACCATAACAAAATCTACTTTTCCAGTGTTATCATGTTTATCGGCTCAAATGTAAAATATTAATTCAAGATTTTAACATTGTGTTTATAGGAAAAATATAAATTAAGATTGGCATGCAAATTGTGTAAAGTCAAATTTTACCCAAAAAAAATAGCGATAACGTTAAGAAGGGATCTTGTATAAAAAAAAAATTGCTAGTTCGAAATGCGAAGAAAAAATTGCTAAATAATTTGTTAAAATAATAGTTACACATACAAAATAGAACCCAATTTTAAAGGAAAGATATATGGGATCCTGTTTTTAAGGGAAAGATTTAAGTTAATTATTGCAACTTAATTAAAGCTAGACATGAATATTGAAAAAAAAAGGTTGCCATTAATAGAAAGCAATTAATGTAGATAAGGGTTTGACCAAAAATTGAATTGCCATTTTTAAAAAATGGTAATTCTTTTTATATATATATAGATTGAATAAAAAATAAACTTTTACCAAATAAATAATAAAAAAATATTTGAAGAAATTTATTTGAAAGAGATCTTGATTTCCTAAAAAAATTGTATTGGATGAATCTAACCCTAAAATTGTTTTATAAAATATCCTTAATATCATGGTATTTTGATATGCATCACCATGTTTCTAAAATACATTTACTTTTCATTTTTGTTTACTCTATCATCCTTTCATTAATTCATTCATTTATTATTATTATTATTATTATTATTATTATTATTATTATTATTATTATTATTATT